AATAAAACCACTTCTAACCAATAAATACAAAATGAAAGACAGAATTCAAAAATTCCCTTTTTGTCACCCCTAGTGAAATGACTGAATCAAGCAATGTTCACCAATGGATGGTAAACAATTAAGTGTAAGGTTGATGGGAAGCTTTATGTGGATTAGACTGTCACTATCTGAACCCACTGCTCAATCTTAGCATTATAAAAAGTGTAGCTCCTGATGTGATGAAATATGAACTACATGGCACCACCAACAAAATAACTGCCAAAATAAAACTGAATTTGAATCCAAACAAGTCTTTAAGTAGAATCTCCAGTCTAGAAATGTAGGGGTAATGGAACAAGTTAAATGATACCATGAGAAATCAATCTGAACTCCAGAATGGGGAACATTCTGCAGAAAAACGGACTCAGTTTTTCAATGTCAACGACATAAAATGCATATGTGCGAGTAAGGGGTACTGTCTAAATGAAAAGAGACTTACAATTCTTTGACAATAGAAATTACAACCAAATACAGTAAGTGGACCTTATTAGGTTCCTTATTTGACCAAACCAACTATGAAAAGATTTTTTTTTGGCAATCAATGAAATATGAGAAGGACTGGGCATTAGTTATTAAATAATTATTCTTAATTTTAAATACAATAATAGCATTGTGGTTATATAAAAATTATTTTTTATTTTTGAAATGCTTATTGACAAGTTTAGGAATTTTCTTTAATAAATTCCACTCAAAACAGGAAGTTATCCCTCTTTGCTGACGATATGATCCTATACCTCAAAAATCCAAGAGAATCTGTCAAAAACCTGCTTGTACTGATAAAGGACTTTGGCAAAAGTATCAGGGTACAAAATAAATGTGTAAAAGACAGTCGCATTCTAATATACCAACAACAAGCAGGTAGAGAGCCAAATAAAAAGCACAATTCCATTCACAATAGCCACACACACACAAAAAGAAATATCTTGGCATCTTCCTAACCAGAGAAATGAAAGACCTTTACAATGAAAACAACAAAACACTGCTCAAAGAAATCCAAGAAAACACAAACAAATGGAAAAATATTCCATGCTCATGGATAGGAAGAATCAACATTGTTAAGATGTCCATCCCACCAAAGACAATCTATAGATTCAACGCAATACCCATTAAGTTACCAACATCATTCTTCTCAGACCTAGAAATGACAATACAGAAATTCTATGGAAACATAAAGGACCACGAATAGCCAAAACAATCCTTAGCAAAAGAAACAAAACAGTAAGTATCACACTTCCAGACTTCAAACTTTACTATAAGGCTACAGTAATCAGTTGGGCTTGGTGGCTCAGTCTGTAATCCCGTGCTTTGGGAGGCTGAGGTGAGTGGATTGCCTGAGCCCGCAGGTTTGAGACCCGCCTGGGCAACTTGGCGAGACCTCATCTCTACAATAAATCAAAATGAGCCAGGCATAGAGCACACGCCTGTAGTTCCAGCTACTTGGAAGGCTGAGGCAGAAGGATCGCCAGAGCCCAGCAGGTCGAGGCTGCGGTGACCATGAGCATGCCTCTGCACTCCAACCTGGGCAACAAGAATGAGACTCCAACTCAAAAAAAAAAAAATTTTGTAATAAATTTTAAAAAATGTGCTAATAGGGATAATTTATGATTTTAACATCAGCCTTTTGGGACATATTACACTGGCCACAATTCTTTATGGATCACTGAAAGAAATTCTGTGATCTTATTCTCAAGTTCTCTCAGTACCCTAGAATGCCATTTGCCAGAACCAGGAGACAAATTCATTTAGAGAAAGTCCTCATTTATAATCTTTTCATAAAACTTGGGTTCCATATCCTTTAAACCATGTTTTGTATCACATATCCAGATAATTCTTCTTAATAAACAAGTATCAATTTCTTTCTGTCTTCCATGCTTTATGGTTAGACTTAGGTTCAATGTTTCTATCATACCCCTAAATAAAATTACTGTTTGGTATATAATTGTACCAGTCAACTTATATCCTAAGTTTTCAAGCAACTTCATAAGAGGTAGTTCAGTAAAAATTCTGATCCTTAAGGAAGAGCTAAATATCTAGTATTCCATGCTAAATGAGAAAACAGCTAAAAGTGATTATGGTGCAACTGTTCCAGTTAGGATTTCTTATTGTCTACCCTGCTCTCCAGAGCATCAACAATTCCCTCTCCTTCCCATCTGAATAGTCCTCAACTTTTCTTACGGATATACTAATGGTAAAGAACATGGAATTTAGAGTCAGATCTGGTTATAACCTTGAGCATTATTTTTATTCTCTCTGAGTTCAGTTTCCTCATCTATAAAATGGTAGGAATAATGTTAGTCTTCATAGTATTTGGAAAGAATTAAATAATATAAGTAAAGGCACTGAACTGGCACATAGCAAGCACTCAGTTAATGGTCTCTACACAAGGGGATGTGAAGGAATGGGTTAAAAGTTTGAGATTAAAAAACAGAAAAAGAAGAATCATTGTAATAAAAAATAAAAACCAGAGGAATAGCTCTAAATTGCTGATAATAGTTTCTTCAGGAGAGATTATAAGATGCACTCACTTTTAATATTTATTTATTTCATTTTGAGTTGGAGTCTTGCTATGTTGCCCACGCTAGAGTGGGGTAGCACCATCAAGGCTCACCACAGCCTCGACCTCCTGGGTTCAGGTGATCCTTCTGCCTCAGGCTCCCAAGTAGCTGAGAGTACAGTCATGTGCCTCCATGCCTGGACAGTCATTTTATTTTATTTCTTTTAGAGAAGAGTTCTCACTATATCGTCCAGTCTGGTCTCGAACTCCTGGTCTCAAGCAATCCTCCCACCTCAGCCTCCCACAGTACTGACATTACAGGTGTGAGTCACCAGGCCCAGCCACACTCCCTTTTTATAGTATACATTTCTAAAATGTTAGAATATTTTAATAATAAACATGTATCACTTTTGAGTCAAAAAAAAATGAAAATGTTTAAAAATATATATTCTCTTCATTTCCAGTATCACCGCAAAAGTTCTGCCCTTATTATCTATTCCTTGGACTCTTCCAAGCTGGAATCTCAGCCTCCCACCCTCCAAGCCATTTTTCATTCTGCCACTAGAACTCATCAGGTCTAGTCCCTGTGTGACTTCATGTTGCCTATGGGATGACATTCAAACTCCTTGGCAAGGCATGGAAGACTGTTCATAACCTGGTCTCAGCCTTTCCAGGTTCATACCTTATCTCTCCCTCTGACTCACACAGAGCTCTAGCCACACTAGAATTCTTGTCACTCTCCAAACACATACGTTCTTGTAAATATCTTCACCTTCCTGTGGACTGAAATGGTAATGGACAAGGTAATCTCAGAAAGCACATGCTGAAGATGACAGAACCCCCTTATGACCTAGAGCCTCTGCCCTGCATTATATACTTGTCTTGTGGTGGAGCCACTACATTTTTGGGTCTATTTGTCATAGAAGCTCAGCACACCTGACTAACATATAATACTAGTATGTTTCCCTTTCCAGAACAAAAAGACACAATTCTTCAGTAGAAACATTCTTTCGTACCAAAACCCAAAGTCATCATAGCACACTACTTTGCTTACCAATGAATAATAACTACAATAATAATCATCTACATGTGGCTATTAATAAGATGAAAAATTGTGATAAAGCATATTGGGAGGATAAGGGGAAGGAAAGGAAGTAATGATAGCAGTAAAACAACTAAATTATCATCTAGTTTATCTTGTCAAAATTATTATTTAAACTGGTAAATGAGACCGGGTACGGTGGCTCAGCCTGTAATCTCAGCACTTTGGGAGGCCGAGGCAAGAGGATTGCCCGAGCTCAGGGGTTCGAGACCAGCCTGGGTAACTTGGTGAGACCTCGTCTCAACAATAAACCACAAAAACTAGCCAGGCCTGGTGGCATGCGTCTGTAGTTTCAGCTACTTGGAAGGCTGAGGTGGAAGGATTGCACGAACCCAGCAGGTCAAGGCTGCGGTGGCCATGAGCATGCCACTGCACTCCAGCCTGGGCAACAAGAATGAGATTCCAACTCAATAAAAACAAAACAAAACAAAAAAACTGGTAAAGAAGCAAATGCATCGTGAAAAAATAATGAACAAATAAACAAATGAACAAATAAAAAAGGTGAAAGTGGTTGCCTTTGGGCAACAGAACTGAAAAAAAAGTGGAGAAGGAAACAGCGAAGAGCTGCTGCTTGCTGATGTACCTGATTTTTAAACGATATGTTACATATTATCTTGATATAATTAAATGTTTAAATATGTACAAGATAGAAACTGGACACAGGTGAGATGGCCTAGACATGAAATACCAGAATTGAAAACAGAAATATAATAAAATAAAAAGAGTCATGATGGTTTGAGATGGTAGAATAGAAAGATACTGAAGGGGAGAGAAGCTAGTCGGTCATCCCCAAGCCTTGCTACAACCAAAACCTCTGTCTCTATGGTTCAGAGTAGCTTCAAAATGTTCAAAAAACAATGTAAATGAGAATACACAAAAATAATAATCCAGGATTCTATGCATATTACCTAGGCAGATGCTGGCTACTGGAAAATTCTTATATATGAGTTCTCAGAGTGTGTGTGTGTGTGTGTGTGTGTGTGTGTGTGTGTGTGTGTGTGTGTGTTTGTGTGTGTGTCTATGTAGTGAAGGATTCAGTCTTATACAAGTAGGAAAAGGGTAACTGAGCAGCTAGGAATAGGGCAGATTAGGAAGCAAAAGCAATGCTGAAATGGGAGAGTCAGAGACAGCAGAAAAGAGAGGCAGCAGAAGGAAACATAACATTTAGAAACATTAAGGTACAAATAAAGGATTTTGCTGTAGCCTAAGAGATCAGAGAGGACTAAGATTTGGAGGATTGACCTCAAGCACAGCAAATAACGTCACTGCAATTCCAAAAGAAAACCAATCATATTTCAAATGAGGCTAATGCTGTGTTCACCAAACTATTTTAAACTTAGACATACTTGAAAGCCATGGACCTACCCTTTGAGGAGCATAAACAGGATATGAGGATGGGCACTGATGTACTCCACAGTGGGACTCCGAGTGCCTATCTGCCTTCTCAGGATGTTGTTAAAAATCTGGGTCACGTCTTTTTTTCCCTGTTAAAGAAACAAACAACAATTAAACTATACACTTCAAATGGATGAACTATATGGTATGGGAAATACATCCATATATATATGTATGTATATGTATATACATATATACACATATACATATATATATATACATGCACACACATAAACAGAAATAGAATCATCCTTGATAATATACAGACGTCATTAACTTACTCTTTGTATATATCTGTAACAGGTCATTCTTTGAAACTCAGAGTCTATAAAATGAATGCAATTCCTTTCTACAGGATCTGCTCAGTGGGAAATTTGACTAACTGGAAGCCCAGTTTGCCAAGCAGTAAACACAAGGGCATACATAGTAGGATATAAAATTGGACTATAAAATTCAGTATTATAATAGAACTGAATTTGTTCGTTACTTGTTTTTTTTAACCATTTATTTAGTGTTATTCAAGCAAAAATATGATTAATATTTTTAAACCTTCACAAATAAGGAGGGAAAATAGGTGAAGAAAACAAAGTTAAGATTTTAGTAAAATGTAGGCTAGATTCCAATTCCTTTTTCTTAGATCTGTTTCCTGGTAGTTTTTTTCCCTTCACTTTATCACTTTATTCGCTCTTCTTTCACCTTGGTGCCTTAACTAAAAAAAAAAAAAAAGAAAGAAAGAAAGAAAAAAAACTTGAGTCTTCAACTGAGAGGATATATCTGACTTAGGTGATCATCAGAAATCATATTGAATTACAAATGGAATTGGAAATTGAAGCCACAATGAGATATTAACATACACATATCAGAATGGCTAAAATTAAAAAGATTAACAATGAAATGCTGCCAAGAATGAAGAAAATCCACACTCATACATTGTGGTGGAAATGTAAAAGAGTATAGCCAATCAGAAAAACACCTTAGTAGTTTCTTCAACAACTAAACATGCTACTGATCATAATAGCAGTTGTACTCTTCGCATTTACCACAGAGAAATGAAAACTTTTATGCTCACACAAAGACTGGCCATAAATATCCATAATAGCCAAAAGGTGAAAGAAACCCAAAAATCCTTCAACAGGTGAATGATTAAACAAATCAACTGTGGTAGCTCCATACCAAAAACTGCTACTCAGCAATAAAAAGAAACTGTTGATATACACAACAACTTAAATGAATCTTCAGGAATTACGCTGAATGGAAAAGCCAGTTCTAAAAGATTACATACTATGTGGTTCCATTTATATGAGCACTCTTGAAATAACAAAATTATAGAAATGGGGAACAGATTAGTGGCTGCCAGAAGTCAGGGATGGGGGATGGTGCTGGGAGTGGGAGGGTTGGGTGTGTCTGTAAAAGGGTAGCAGGAAAGATCTTTGTGGCAATAGAAATTTTTTATATTTTAATTTTATCAACATCAATATCGAGGTTGTGTTATGGTCATATAGTTTTGTAAGCTATTACCATTGGGGAAATGAGATAATAAAGAGAAGGGTGGAAATAAGGAAAGAAGAAAGAAAGAAAATACTCTATTGATGTCCTAGGATCCCACTTTTGGAAATCTAACTTGAGAATCTTTTTGGAAATCACTTATTATTTCTTACAACTGAATACCCATCAACAACTATTTCAAAATAAAAAGGTTAATATTTTTAAAAGATTTTTTTTTCATCCAGCAATTTTTTTTAGACACAAACATGAATTTATTACAAATAAATTTTGCCTAATTCATTTGGTTTGGGGTAAAGATTGTTAAAATGGGATATAAGAAGTGTTAGGTCACATTCCCAGTGGGTCTTCCAGAATGTTAGATCAGGCCCCCTGGGGGTGTGTGGGTGTCTGGTGTGTGATCAAATGCTGCATGAAAGATGCAAAGAATCGCATAGAAGTTAGATCAGAAAATACAGCTTATGTAGAAAGTGAGAGAGAAAGAAAGAGAATTCACCTCTCTAAGGTAGGAGAGGGGGCCAGAGCTTAGGAAACATAGTGATAGCCACAACTCAAAGAGCACATGACCACACCAGAGTCTTGTAAAGCAATGGCCTGCAATTTTTAATGATAAAATACAATGCTTGTTTGTATACACTGTTGATGAGGATATAAACCAATCTAACAATACTCTATTGATGTCCTAGGATCCCACTTTTGGAAATCTAACTTGAGAATCTTTATCATTGCTGTGATAATAGTTAAAAACAATCAGTGTCTAGGACTTGGCATGGATAAGTAAATTATGGCATATTTCTACTATATATATAGTAGAAATAAGAAACTGGACCATAAGAATGTTGGCAATGATTAAATATAAGAAGATGTATCTACAGCTATTCACCTCATTCCATGGAGAGAAATAAAGAGAAGGGTGGAAATAAGGATAGAAGAAAGAAAGAAAGAGAAGAGGGAGGAGAAGAAAGGAAAGAGAGGGAATCAGAGAGGAGAAAAGAAGGATCTGGGGGAGAAGAGACAGAGAAATGAAGAACAGGTACATAAGAACACAAATTATATTTTCCTTTAGGAAAAAACACTAGCAGGGGATGTTAGCTCATGCCTATAATCCCAGGACTTTGGGAGGCAGAGATGAGAAGATTGCCTGAGCCCAGGGGTTTGAGATCAGCCTGGGCAATATGGTGAGACCTCGTCTCTACAACAAATCAAAAAATTAACTGGGCGAGGTGGTGCATGTCTGTGGTTCCAGTTACTTGGAAAGCTGAGGTAAAAGGATTGCCTGAGCCTAGTGGGTTGAGGCTGTGGTGGCCATGATTGTGCCACTGCACTCCAGCCTGGACAACAGAGTGAGACTCCAACTTAAAAAAAGAAAAAAGAAAAAATACTGCCCAAATCCAAATTTTAATAGTAATTAGGAGGTGAATTCTCCATTTAAAAAGAAATTTCAGAATCAGTCTCATTATTTAAAAATACTAAATAATGTTCACAATACATACATTTTATTTATACAGATTTTAAAGACTGTATTTGTGGGGTTGGGCATGGTAGCTCACACCTGTAATCCCAGCACTTAGGGAAGACGAAGTGGGAGGATTGCTTGAGCCCAGGAGTTCAAGACCAACCTGAGCAATATAGCGAGACTTCATCTCTACAATAAAAAAAATTAGCCAGGTGTGTAGTTGTGTGCCTGTAGTACCAGCTAGTTGGGAGGCTAAGGAGAGATGATCACTTGAGGCCAGGGGTTAGAGGTTGTGGTAAGCCATGATCATGCCACTGTATTCTAGCATGGGTAACAGTAAGATCTCAACTCAAAAAAAATTAAAAAGACTATTTGTTACATAAAAGAGATATAGCTGTAATCAAATTTTTAAATAAAATGAATCATCTGTTTTATTCAAACCCTTTTAGACTCTACAGTCTAATACTGCAGAACAAATAGCAACCCTCTTAAAAATGTCACAGGAACATGTTTATCACACCTCCCAGCAAAAGGCCACAAGAGCACTTCCATACAACATTCCGGAGAACAGTAGAAATGAGCTCCACAAAACTCTATCCAACTTTTACTCAGAGGAAAACATTCTTCTAGTTCATTAGCAAATGTGTGCAGAGGCAAAGGAAGCCCCCTGTGGATAACAAAAACAAGTTCTGCTACCAGGAATCTCTTCCCAAAACAGAAGAAATGATTCCCATGGAAGGATTAGAGAAAACTGAAACAGGTACAAGCTGGTGAATGATGATCTCTACCTTTTATGTAATCTCTGTAGCTGTCCAGTCACCACTCTAAATCTAACTGGACCAAAACCTTAACTATTTCAAAACTAGTCTTCTGCACCCCCAGGCTGCCAGATCTCAAGCTCTAGACCTAGAAGTTGCCAGAAAAAAAGAATAAAAAACCCCAAAACGCCTCAGTGGCTCAGCCTGTAATCCTGCGCTTTTGGGAGGCTGAGGTGAGTGGATTGCCTGAGCCCGCGGGTTCAAGACCCGCCTGGGCAGTGAGACCTCATCTCTACAATAAATAAAAAAATCAGCCAGGCATGGTAGCACATGCCTGTAATTCCAGCTACTGGGAAAGCTGAGGCGGAAGGATCACTGGAGCCCAGCAGGTCGAGGCTGCGGTGGCCGGAAGCGGCCACTGCACTCCAGTCTGGGTGACAGAGTGAGACTCCAACTCAAAAAAAAAAACAAACCCAAAACATATTCAATAATAAAGAAGTAACATCTAGAAATGACCAAAAATGCCTAAAATTAGCTGGCAATTCTAAGATTACATAGAATGTAACTGATCTGATCTCAAACCTTAAGCAGTCCTTGTTTTTGCTTGCAAATTCAAAAAAGATCAGCCTTAACATTAAATGCTCAATTATTTGATGAATGAATGAAATATATATATGGAAATATCAACTAAAATCAAACAGGCAACAGGAAGAGGAGAGAAGAAAGAGGCGGTGACCAGTAGTCACAGCAATCAGAAATAACTGTTACAGATGAGAAAAAGCACATGAGAAAAAAGACTGTAGAGATGAGAAGACCTTCAATTTAAAATACAAGTCATCGACTCATTGCATACAGAACATATATAAAGAATTCTCAAAATCCAACAATCAAATAAAAAAGAGACAAAAGCAGCTCCGAACTTCATAAAAGATGGTGGCAAATAACCCCATGAAAAGATGCTCAACGTCGTTGGTCACTAGGGAAATGCAAATTCAAACCACTATGAAATATCACTAACCCTTATGAGAATGACTAAAACAATAAAATGAAACCGAAAAGTTGACATTACACAACAACTGTGCTCCTAGGTATTTATCCAAGTGAAATGAAAACCTATGTTCACACAAAAGCTGTACATAATGGTTATGGTGGCTTTATTTGTAGTTGCTTAAAAACAACAACAACAACAACAACTGGAAACAAGCTGTATATTCCTCAAATGGCAAATGGGTGAATGGTTTGTGGTACATCCATGCAATGAATGACTACTCAGCAATAAAAAAGAACAAACTCCTGATACTTGGCAGCAACGTGGGTGAATTTCAAATGCATTACCCTAAGTGAAAGAAATCAGACTCAAAAGGCCACATAC